TTATCTAAAAATAAATTCAATAATTTAATATCAATAGAAAATAATCAAACATACTAAATATTGAATCTTCTTTAAAATGATTTAATGATAAAACTGATCGTGTTCGTTTATCAGTAAATTTTGATCGTAATTTTTTTTTAAATGATGATCGTTTCGATTTCATTAATTCATCAAGACTTGGTGCATTAGTTGTTAATTCTTCTGCTCTATTAAAACAAAAGTTCTTGTATAAGAAAAGAAAGTTTATTTTTCAAAAAATCTTTTTACCGAGATTTATTCGGTATAGTTCCATTTAACTTCGTTTGTGATGAAATTGTATTTAATTTAGTAGCAACCCAATAACCAACTTGACCATTATAAAGTGTATCTGTTACATGAAAAACATCATTGATACAAATTGATAATTCTTCGTCATTTGATGGTTTCGAAGTAAAATGTGCACTGAAATTACGTTAAAATTATATATATATTTTTTTCTCTTAAAAATTATTTATACCGAATATAAAATGAATCACCACCAACATCAGTTAATAATTGTTCATATTCTATTTTAATAAATGAATAGAAAATTTTCGGTAATAATATAAAATAAACAAACCATGTGGTAAATTTGAAACAATCATATTCACTTGTGATGTTTTAAGATTCGTTAAATATAAAACAGCTTCTTCACGTGTTAATGTAGTAAAATCGATATTATTCACCTAAGATAGAATCAAGCGTCTTATTTACTATTTGACTAAAAATGATAAAATACTGATAACTTGATATGGAGGGTCTAAGGCGATTTAGTACTTTGAAGTTTTTTATACTTCAATGTTTTAAATTAAATCAGAAAAATCCTATACTATTTTATCATTATCGAAACTTTCTAGGATAAAATGACAGATGATAGAAAAACTTACACTAAATATTTTATCACTAATAAATAATCCTGATTTATATGCGACACTATTTGGTTGAATTTCACAAATAAATAATCCATATTTATTCCCACCAGCTAATCGAATACCTATACTTGAAGTTTCTGTAAAGAATGATACATATCTTGATCCCGAACTAAATAAAAATCAAAAAAAAAAAAGAATGTAACTTTAAAATCTTTTCTTTTATTTACCTTGGTCGAATAAAATCAATATGATTATTCATTGATCGTTCAAATTTATGTTGATTATATTCTGATTGTATTGCTTTATATGAAGATATTGAATCTCGATGATTATTAGATTTATTTGGTATAGTATAGAGAATAAGTTGTTCTTTTGTTTTATCAATTAATTTTTGTGCTTCTTGTAATGTTAAACGATTAACTGGTATTTCATTAATCTAGAAATTTATTTTTTTTTGTCTAAATCTTTATATTTCATTAGAAGAATTTCAATTTTACTTTAATAATTTCATCACCTTCTTGAATCTTTGTAGATTTTTCATTATTTTTATAATAAACTTTTTTAATATAATATCGACAATCAAGTATAATATTAGTTTTTTCATCTTTACGTGCTTTATCCAATATACATTTGATTGGCAATTCATTATCCGATACGATTACCGGATGTTTATGTCGTTGAACAATCTAGATTAAACAAAACTTAATTAGAAAGAAAAGAAAGTTAATCAATATACTAAATGAACAAAATCTGTTGATTCACGAATTAATTTCAATGCTGTATATTCCATATAACGTACTACAGGATGACCATTGACATTTACAATACGATCATTTGGTCTAATTGAATATTAGGAAAATAATATTGATATATTTATTCGATAGAAACATTCTTACAAAAGTTTTCCAACTGCAGGTCCATTTTTAATAACATCTGAAACAATTAATGATTGATTATCATTATCATCATTTCCACCACTTATTGATATACCAAAACCATGTAATGGTGACTAAAAAAAAATATGATTATTTTCATAAGTCAAAAAGAAATCCAATTAACACTTACTCTTGTTAAAGTTACTTGAAAGCAATTATTTTTATCACTCATATCATCTTCATCCATATTGTTGTTTGTTTCAATCTATAAAAATAAGCGTAAATAAAATAATAAAAAAAAGAAGAAGAAGAGGAAAGTGTAATCGGAAGTTTGAACAAATATAACTAAGACAAATAAACAGTACATACTATTCTATTTTGCACGTTCGAAAAGAAGACATGTTCAAATAAGAAGCTTATCGGAAATCACGTGATTAGTTCAACAATGTTAAAATATAGATTAACGGAAATACTCGACTTTTTAGCAGTAGGAGTTAATCACAATTATCAACTATGAAATATGAGAATCGAAAGTTTGTCAAACATAAAATTAGTTATTTTTTGCAAAGTTCGATTCTGAATTTTAACATGTACAAAAAGAATTTTTCATCTCAGTTTCGAAGTAGATCTAATCCATTCTAGAAACTAATATAAGATGTTGATTTTATTTTGTGTTGTCTGATAAATGAGCGGTAAGAAAATTGTTCATTTGATATTCGAATGGTCAGTATCGATTACAATAAGAACTAACAAATATGATAAGAAAAAAAAGAGTATTGATCTTATTCATCCTCCTCACAAACATTGCATATAATCTCTTTTCATCTGTTTAAAGAAGAAAATTTAATTTTACCATATCAAACATAAGTGAATTATTAAAAAATATTATGTTTATATCATCATCTTACCATAGATATGTGAAAATTATAATAAATAATATTCTCCTCCTCGAAAAGTTAAGAGCGATAGAGAATATTCAAAAGAATATATTCAGTTCATTTTTGTATAGTAGTTAACAAGCGAACACTTCGTATAGAAAGAAAGAGAGAGCAAGAGAAGGTATGTTGATAATCGGTTGAACGGAAAAAGGAAAAAAAGTTCACCTTTTTTTCTTTCTTTTCATTAGCCGTTGAATCGAAGAAATGAAAACAAGTGATCATTTTTCGTTTATATATATACATATATGTCTATCTGTTTATCATTGTGAATGGACCATCCTATTCTTTTAGTTTTTACTATAGATGACCGAGCACACGTGATTTGATGATTAAGATAATGATGATGTTGATTTCAATCAAGAGAAAAAGTGACAAGCAATGTTCATTCATATTATAATTATTCGATTTCAAGCACAACATTCAATATGCTTTGTTTCTGTTGAAGAATATAACATTGGTTATGTTTTGTTTGATCAAATAAAGTATTCAATGCTGATGTACACTTAAGTTAAGAGAGAGTGAGAGAGTGAACAAGTGGCTATTAAGAATTTAAAAACAAAATTTTTCATTTAAAAATTAAATGTATCGAATTGATTTCATTCACATAGTTATTTTATAGTTTCAATTAAATCAATCAAATTTGACCTTGAAAATTAAGAAATTCTTTCTTTGTTAAAGGAGAATACGAATAAAAAGTAATATATTTGTCAATCATACAGAGAATATTGATGTGAAAAAGAAAATATGTTAATCATTTTGTCTTTTCTACTTTCATATAACTTTTGGTTGCTTACCATTATAAATAGTACAATATATGACAAAATTTATCTGATTTTAAGAATAGCTCACAACGCACTAGAAGAAAAAGGTCGTAATAAATAAAGGGAAATTATTTGTAAACTGCAAGTTTTCGATTGCAGTCCAAAATTTAACGCTTCAAATCGTTTTCTAAACCATCTTGACGAACTATAATTAATTTACTCAATATTAGCCAAGTTATATTGATATTTTTTGATAAACGTTTTCTGGTAACAATGATGAGAAAATATCAGTATTGTATAACTTGAAACTTGAATTCAACTATACTCAACCATTTACTTTCATCTTCTCATGTATATTTTTTCTTAAAAAGCAAATCGTGACCATTACTAAGGCACTTTCTTAGAGATACAAATCACACTTATCGAATACTTACATATATGTATATATCTATAAAATATATTTTATCCGTTTTATAAAACTTGTATTTACAATTTTTTCAAATATGTGTCTATGAATGAGGAGAATTCAGATGTATCCTGCTGTGTAGAGAAAAATAATAAACAATATTATTTACTAAAGCTGTTATTGGAAGTGAACATCAAGTACCAATCCAAGCGCACGATCAAACATTTTTTTCTTGCAAGCCGATTAGTCAATAAATATACACATAAGATGCAAACTAATTTTTTGAGTTATTGAAACATAAAAATCTACGCAAAGTTTTTTCTAAGTAATTGACATTCATAATATCTGTTTTAAAAAGATTTTCTCATCTAATTTTCTGATTATCTGCTTCTTCATCGTCATTCCTTCTGACTTTTGCTACATCTAGTTTAAATAAAAGATAATAGATCATATCATAAAGTTATCTTTCGTCATATGCTTTTTATCAGTTTGTGCAATGTTTTCTAGTTCATAGAGAAACAAAAGTTGTTGAACATTCTAATAATCTTATTATACTAATCTGAAATATAAGGATATTATTGTAGAATGACAAAATAGTTTCGATATTAAAGAAGTGAGACCTGCAAAATGTAGATAAACTATGAAACATATCGACATCTTATTTTTCCTTTCTTCCTTTTTCAATTCCTTCTATATCATTATTGACATAGACTAAGGCAAAATTCAAAATTGATATAGTATATGAAAGTATTTATTATGTTCCTCAATTACTTTCATATATATATATGTATATATAAACACAAGTATTCTAATCATTTGATATCGATGAGTATATCAATGGTATGAGCTATTCTTTAATATTAGAACAGAGAGAATAATTCATTCTACTGATAAAATAAACCTTTTCTCTCCTTCTATTCTCCTATGTTTCTGTTGAGTATCTTTCTTTTTTACCTAACACCACGAAACTCTAGTTGTTTACACATACCAATGTAACCGTGAAGGCCTTTTCTACAAATCATATCTTTTTAATATGTATTGTTTACCTTACCGGTGAGTGTTACTGCTCATACTGTATTCTCAACAAGAACAGAGTATCAATACAGACACATTTTCTTTTTCATACGTTGCATTTTGATTAAAAGAAATACAGAAAGAAATCATAATTTCTCTTTCATGCGTTCAAGGTTTTCTCTCCATTTACGAAGTCCAGGATGACTTGTTGGTAATAATTTTTCTCCAATACGTACTGCACGTTCATAGAATGAAAGTGCTCTTGGATAATCACACATGCTGTCATACACCATAGCGATGTTGTTATAGGAAGCGGCCAAATCAGGATGATTAGCAGGAAGTGATTGTTGTTGAATTTCAAGGGCTTTTTTAAGAAATAAAAGTGCGTTTGGATAATCACCCATATTATGATATACACTACCGATGTTCGTATAGGAATCTCCCAAACGAGAATGATTGGAAGGAAGTGATTCTTGCTGAATTTCAACGGCTTTTTCATGAGATGAAAGTGCTTTTGAATAATCACCCATACTGTAATATACAATACCGATGTTGTAATAGGAAGCACCCAAATCAAAATGACTGGAAGAAAGTGATCGTTGCCGAATTTCAAGGGCCTTCTCAAAATAAGAAAGTGCTTTTGGAAAATCACCCATGTCTCCATACACACAGCCGATGTTGCTATAGGAAGCACCCAAATCAGGATGATTGGAAGGAAGTGATTGTTGTCGGATTTCAAGGGCTTTCTCATAATAAGAAAGTGCTTTTGAATAGTCACCCATGCTGTCATATAGAATACCGACGTTATTATAGGACTTAGCCAAATCAGGATGATTGAAAGGAAGTGATTGTTGTCGAATTGAAAGGGCTTTCTCATGAGCTAAAAGTGCTTTTGGATAATCACCCATGTTAATATACGCATTACCGATGTTATTATAGGAATCTCCCAAATCAGGATGATTGGAAGGAAGTGATTCTTGTCGAATTCCAAGGGCTTTTTCATAAAATGAAAGTGCTTTTGGATAATCGCCCATGCTGTGATACACCAACCCGACATTGTTATAGGAAGCACCCAAACCTGGATGATTGGAAGAAAGTGATTCTTGTCGAAGTGCCAGGGCTTTTTCAAAATAAGAAAGTGCTTTTGGATAATCACCCATATCCCTATACACACTACCGATACTGTTATAAGAACTACCCAAATCAGGATGATTAGAAGGA